AACACAAAAGTTAAACAAACCAATTACAAGCAAAGAAATTGAAACAGTAATCAAAAAACTACCCAAGAACAAAACCCCGGGGCCGGACGGATTTACCTCGGAATTTTATCAGACACACAGAGAAGACATAATACCCATTCTCCTTAAAGTGTTCCACAAAATAGAAGAAGAGGGAATACTCCCAAACTCATTCTATGAAGCCAACATCACCCTAATACCAAAACCAGGCAAAGACCCCACCAAAAAAGAAAATTACAGACCAATATCCCTGATGAATGTAGATGCAAAAATACTCAATAAAATATTAGCAAACAGAATTCAACAGTATATCAAAAGGATCATACACCATGACCAAGTGGGGTTCATCCCAGGGATGCAAGGATGGTACAACATTCGAAAATCCATCAACATCATCCACCACATCAACAAAAAGAAAGACAAAAACCACATGATCATCTCCATAGATGCTGAAAAAGCATTTGACAAAATTCAACATCCATTCATGATAAAAACTCTCAGCAAAATGGGAATAGAGGGCAAGTACCTCAACATAATAAAGGCCATATATGATAAACCCACAGCCAGCATTATACTGAACAGCGAGAAGCTGAAAGCATTTCCACTGAGATCGGGAACCAGACAGGGATGCCCACTCTCCCCACTGTTATTTAACATAGTACTGGAGGTCCTAGCCACGGCAATCAGACAAAACAAAGAAATACAAGGAATCCAGATTGGTAAAGAAGAAGTTAAACTGTCACTATTTGCAGATGATATGATACTGTACATAAAAAACCCTAAAGACTCCACTCCAAAACTACTAGAACTGATATCGGAATACAGCAAAGTTGCAGGATACAAAATCAACACACAGAAATCTGTAGCTTTCCTATACACTAACAACGAATCAATAGAAAGAGAAATCAGGAAAACAATTCCATTCACCATTGCATCAAAAAGAATAAAATACCTAGGAATAAACCTAACCAAAGAAGTGAAAGACTTATACTCTGAAAACTACAAGTCACTCTTAAGAGAAATTAAAGGGGACACTAATAAATGGAAACTCATCCCATGCTCATGGCTAGGAAGAATTAATATCGTCAAAATGGCCATCCTGCCCAAAGCAATATACAGATTTGATGCAATCCCTCTCAAATTACCAGCAACATTCTTCAATGAATTGGAACAAATAATTCAAAAATTCATATGGAAACACCAAAGACCCCGAATAGCCAAAGCAATCCTGAAAAAGAAGAATAAAGTAGGGGGGATCTCACTCCCCAACTTCAAGCTCTACTACAAAGCCATAGTAATCAAGACAATTTGGTACTGGCACAAGAACAGAGCCACAGACCAGTGGAACAGATTAGAGACTCCAGAAATTAACCCAAACATATATGGTCAATTAATATTTGATAAAGGAGCCATGGACATACAATGGCAAAATGACAGTCTCTTCAACAGATGGTGCTGGCAAAACTGGACAGCTACATGTAGGAGAATGAAACTGGACCATTGTCTAACCCCATATACAAAGGTAAACTCAAAATGGATCAAAGACCTGAATGTAAGTCATGAAACCATTAAACTCTTAGAAAAAAACATAGGCAAAAACCTCTTAGACATAAACATGAGTGACCTCTTCTTGAACATATCTCCCCGGGCAAGGGAAACAAAAGCAAAAATGAACAAATGGGACTATATCAAGCTGAAAAGCTTCTGTACAGCAAAGGACACCATCAATAGAACAAAAAGGTATCCTACAGTATGGGAGAATATATTTATAAATGACAGATCTGATAAAGGGTTGACATCCAAAATATATAAAGAGCTCACACACCTCAACAAACAAAAAGCAAATAATCCAATTAAAAAATGGGCAGAGGAGCTGAATAGACAGTTCTCTAAAGAAGAATTTCAGATGGCCAACAGACACATGAAAAGATGCTCCACATCACTTGTCATCAGAGAAATGCAAATTAAAACCACAATGAGATATCATCTCACACCAGTAAGGATGGCTATCATCCAAAAGACAAACAACAACAAATGTTGGTGAGGTTGTGGAGAAAGGGGAACCCTCCTACACTGCTGGTGGGAATGTAAATTAGTTCAACCATTGTGGAAAGCAGTATGGAGGTTCCTCAAAATGCTCAAAATAGAATACCATTTGACCCAGGGATTCCACTTCTGGGAATTTACCCTAAGAATGCAGCACTCCAGTTTGAAAAAGACAGATACACCCTTATGTTTATCGCTGCACTATTTACAATAGCCAAGAAATGGAAGCACCCTAAATGTCCATCAGTAGATGAATGGATAAAGAAGATGTGGTACATATACACAATGGAATATTACTCAGCTATAAGAAAAAAACAGATCCTACCATTTGCAACAACATGGATGGAGCTAGAGAGTATTATGCTCAGTGAAATAAGCCAGGTGGAGAAAGACAAGTACCAAATGATTTCACTCATATGTGGAGTGTAAGAACAAAACTGAAAGAACAAAACAGCAGCAGAAGCACAGAACCCAAGAATGGACTAACAGTTACCAAAGGGAAAGGGACTGGGGACGATGTGTGGGAAGGGAGGGATAAGGGTGGGAAAAAAGAAAGGGGGAATTATGATTAACATGTATTGTGTGTAGGGGGGCACGGGGAGGGCTGTACAACACAGAGAAGAGAAGTAGTGATTTTACAGCATCTTACTATGTTGATGGACAGTGACTGAATGGGTATGTGGGGGGGACTTGGTGAAGGGTGGAGCCTAGTAAACATAATGTCTTTCATGTAATTGTAGATTAATGATACTAAAATAAAATTAAGAAAAAAAAAAGAAAGTCTATGTTGTCTACTATACATTAATTTTGTGTAAGTGATCTCATTTCTATGGGCTAGACAGCGGGTATGAATTTAAGATCTGGATCAATGTGGTACACTATAGAGACAGCATGTGAGGATGTAGGAGCTCCAGTGCAGAAAGGACCATAAAATATTAAATCCCTGGGAAGTCTAGCAATAAAACTTTAAGTTGGAATCAATACCATCTCCATCTCCAAAGGACAGGGAAATCTCAGCTATCCCTAGGTAATACATAATTTGAAATTATTCATTTTCAACCAATTTCTCATATGTATCTTTATGATTTTTCTATTTTAGTTATCAGTTCTTCCTGAGCCAACCTCCTTCCTGTCTGTTTCTTGAGTTGACTGGGGCAATGAAACTTCAATCATCTATGAATCTCCTCTTCCTGGCAAGTGGTTATCATTGAAGAGCCAGAGTGGGGAATCAGAGCACAGCAGGACAGTCTGGCATGTACCAGCTGAATCTGGGATAAAATGGAACTAAAATTTCAGCCTTATATGATGAGAACCACAGAAGAAGCACCCCTATTAGGTCAGCTCCAAGAGAGCAAGTAAAGAAAAACACACAAAGAAGAAGAGAGAAAGGCACCAGAGCAGAGATTGTAGGAAAGGCAACTGGAATGGACACAGAGGAGAGAGCCTGCCCCAGGGCCTGAGGGCACCCAGTGAGTTATGCCCAGAGTCCAGGAGTTAGGGAAGGACGAGGAAAACTAACACTAGTTTTTTCTGCTCTCATCCTTGTACCAGGGGCCTGCTTAATTCAAGCAGCCCTGATGTCATGGTCTTTGCAAAAATTTCTATGTTTTCTTTTATACCTTCAGAAGGTTAAAACTTACAGCTCCTAATTCTTGAGTTTGACTATGTTTTGCATCAGATTTTTTCCTTGTCCCAGGGATTTTGGTATGCTTACTGGCATAAGACTAACAAGTTAATTCTGATAGAACTCAAATCCTGAGAGTAATACTAGTTCAGACAATTGTAAAAAATACACTTTAATTTTTTACTTATGTTTAAATAGAAATTCTTAAGAATGTCCTGCTATTTACTACACTGTCAAATGTCTAAGTCGGGAAGGTCTGTTTCATGAGAAGCTGGGAGGTTTCCTCATCCTTTAGAAAAGGGGAGGGGGCAGAGAAGGAAGAACACTCCTTCCTGTCTTCTGCGGTTACCAGCCATAAGTACCTAGGAACACACCCAAAATGTCAGGGTGGAAAAGGTGCCTCACATCAAGATGATTGGCTCACAGTTACCATGAAATGAACCTAAGTATATTATTTCATACTTAAATATTTCTACTAAAATACCCTTCCCTTCTAACTGATTTCAAGCTGAGTCAAATAAAGATACTATTTATGCCAAATATCTAGTAAAAGTCCATTCTAACATAGCTCAGATTTCCATAATTTCCTTATACTGTGGATAAAATGGAATGCCTTAATATACATACACTTACATGTATATTTGAATATATATACTTATCAACATCCAAACTGAGTCGAAGCCATTCACATCTCTGATGTCTACTTTTTAATCAAATTTCTAATCAAAGCATGGTTTGCAGATGAAAAGATTCAATTCAGACACAGATAATTGAATTGATGGATAAATATTAAACCAAACCCATGGAAATAGGTTCGGTTCACCTATTTTCATTGACCTGAGAATCCAGTCTATTCATTAATTATAGTGTGTGATTTAAAGTTTATAGAGTCAAAAAGATACTGAAAAAGTTAATATAATGAAATATTCTGTGTATGAAATCTCAAAATCTAGTTGCATTCCATAGTTAAATTTACCTGTAAACTAGAACTATAACTTAGCATCTTCTCAAGATAATTAAAATATTACCAAATGATAATCTTAAAACTGTTTCAAAAGGTGATTATGTAAATCCTTAGTTGGTTTATACTATATTACCATTAGAAAAATAAAATTTTAAACTACCCACACCTATTTTTTATCCATACTTCAGTTGAAAAAACTTCTTTAAAAATACAAATGTTTGATTTAAAAAATAGTATATACTATTTTCTTTAGAGAAATATAAAAGTAAATAATCACATAACTTTCAGGATATGAGAGAAAAATGACCATAACTTAAGTGCAAGAAGAATAAAGTTTGGTTTACCTACCTTTAATGTGATACTATAATGTCCAACAAATGTTGCATTTATCCATGATCTTGAATGAGGATAGCCCAGGAATTCTATATGATACTGTTCAACATTGCCATCCCGGTCATAGGTCACGTATTTGCCTTTAAAGGGATCAGTGCAAAGTATCCCTGGCCAACTTTCAAAAGAAAATATTTAAAATTACTTTGATGCTTTATAAAAGGCAAACATCGATATATCTGTCATAATCACATGTCAAACTTTCTCCCTAGAATTTTAATAACTTTCACAGAACTTAGACATATTCGTACTTGCATCTTTTAAAAGTAGGATATTCACTTTATATAGACAATCAGGTATATCTTTGTAGATACAGAAAGCCGTGGAATAGTGCCATATTTAAGATATACATACTCTATCAGGAGAAGGGATTAGAAGGCCAAAGAATGACCTCCAGGGCCTATAAGAGATATTTAGGTACTACTAATAAGAAAGATAAGAGAAAAAAATTCAACAAATTCATGGTAGGGTTGAATCAACTCTAACCAAACAGAATGATTAATTAATAAAATGCTAACCCCCTGACAGGCCTTCTGACGCAGTAGGAGAGAGCTGGCATTTCTTGAGACAGGACTGCCAAAGGGATACTGGGAGCTCAGACTCTGATAACACTGGTGATTATAATTACTGTGAGAAAAGCAGAAATAGAGCACAGCAGTACTATATTGTTCTGTTTTCCCCCATCTGCTCCACTGGCAGATGACCAAATTGCTAAAAATCCTCAGTACTTGAAATAAAATTTACCTTTTACAAAATAAGTCTTCAGGGATGTATTCTTTCATGACATAAACCTCTACAAATCCCCTGATATGCTTAATTTTTCCATTTGGCAAAAACAGACTAAATACATCATCAACCATGTGTTAACTATTTTACTAGTCATTCTAGATTTGGACCTACTGTTATGAGAATAAGCAGGAAGGGAAGGCAGCAGGGTCAAGAAGCTGTGACTAAGGAATATGCAGTAGAAATCTGACTGAATTTTCTAGATCGATATCCAAAACATGCATATGTAATATACCCAAACATAAAAAATCTGTACAACTGTCAGTTTCCACTTCAGTTTGCAGCATGGCAGAGTGAGAAGAATAGTGAGGTTCAAATAAGAGGAGACATGGGCTCTAGTTCTGCCTCCTGCCAGAGGACAGGCCTTGAGTGGGTAACTGGGCTTTGCTATAACTCTGGCTCCTCACTGTGCTGTTACAAACTTCAAACAGACATGTGCTTTACACATTATTGTTTTCTGACAAATTAAAATATTGTAAAGTGCCATCATTTTGGACTGAATTGTGCCCCCCAGGTCTCCTAGCCCTTTCTCACCAATTCATATGTTGAGGTCTTAACCGCCAGTATATCAGAATGGGACTGTATTTGGAGACAGTGTCTTTAAGGAAGTAACTAAGTTAAAAGGTGGGCCCTAATGCAATATGACTAGTTTCCTTATAAAAAGAGATCAGGACACTGATATGCACAGAGGGAAAAATACATGATTTCAGATGAAATCAACCCTGCTAACAACTTGATCTCAGACTTCCAGGCCCAAGAATGGAGAGAAAATAAATTTGTTTTTTTTAAGCCACTCTCTTAGTGATACTTTGCTACGGTATTAGTAAAACTGCAGTATTTCCAGAATTTCTCGCCTGGCCTTAGTCCATCTCCATATCAATAGGTGTTGCCAAGGGGTGGAGGGAAGTACCATCTCCATATCAATAGGTGATTACAAAGGGGGTGGAGAGCCAGCATGCACCTAGACAGAAGAGCATTGGTTGGGCCTTGACAGCTGGGTCTCAAGAGACATGGTGAGTAGGAATAGACTGCTTGTAAGTAATAAAAGGGTTTCTCCCACTTTATTGCTCCCTTTAACTGATTTCTGCTTCAAAGGTTATTTGCCCCAGGCTGGGAATGTATTTCCCCCTGGAGTTACTTGCAGCGGCAACTGGCAGGACTTCTGAAACCAAAATGTCTTCACTTGGGTGGGCTGCCCCTAGAGATGGTGGGGAGGTACCCCGAAACCCTGCTGTGGATGGTGGGGAGGTCCCAGTGGTGACTGTGGTGGGGGGTGACAATTCACCCTTCCCTCCAGCAGCAGTGGAGGGTGCTGCTTCACATGGAAGCCTCCTATCCATGGGGCTTCCACTCGGGGAGCCCCTAGTGGGGATTTGGTTCAGAGTAAAGCACCTCCTAGAAGGGTGGGCCTTAATCAGGAGTAGGGAAGGGTAGAGACACCAGAATCTGTGGAATTAGTCTTCCGTAAGATAGAAGACTGCTTAGAGGCCCTGAGTGGCCATGTAGTGGCCAGAATTGTGGGATGTTTGTTTCTCAAGATACTGGAAAGGGTTACTGAGGAGAGAGAGACACACTTCGGCATCTCTTGGAAGAGCTGGGGGCGTTGACCTGGGGATGCCCTTAAGAAAGAGAGACAGTTATTGAGAAGTCAGGTCACACTCCTGAAAGATAAGTGAATAGTGAAGGAGAAGGCAACAGGAGAATCCGCACTGCAGAAGGCCTTCCCAAGAGGGAAGGAGTGGTGCCTTTAGCCCCAAAGATGGTAGAGGAGATATCAGGAGAGGATGAGGGGGTGGGCCAGGGGCCGAACTGTTGCTGAGGTCACTGCCCAAGGTACCAGACCCTCCAGAATTAAAGGTCCATGTTAGGGTCTAGGACTCCCGGGTTTCCCAGAGAACAAGACACACGGACACGGAGATGAAAATCCAAGCAAAGTCTTTATTCAGCCAGCAAGCTGGGGTCGACAGCACCTCCCCTGACACGCAGGCCGAGTCCGAGCTGCCGACCCCGAAGCAACTTTGGGTATTGATTATATAGGATCTTCACAGCAGTTACATCAAAGCCCGCGCAGTTCTACAACTAATAGGTTTAAAACACACTCTATATTGTAACCAATGGGAAACATTGTAACCTTTTTAGGGAACGTGCCAGTTGCCTGCCCGCTTCAATTGTTATCTCTTGCTTACCCAAGAATGTCTATGTGACTTATCACGGGTTACATCCCCAGGCGTTCCCAGGCTGTTGCCCACTTCTAGTCATCTAACTTAGGGTAGGCGCATTTCTCAGAAGCCTCGGGTAATTTACACAAGAAAAGACTGGGTGGCTCTCGCTCTAGGCAGTTAGGTTAAGTGTCATTAGTTCTTTTTCCTGACTTGATGCTCTCTGCACTCCGTTACAGTCCACCCAGTTGTAATAAAGAAAATAAAAATGCAACAACTGTGGGCTTTGTAGGGAGAGGAGCAGCCCCCTCCCCATGTTGTGGAGCCCTCCATGTTCTGCCCCTATACCAGGATGAGCTGGGGGATATAAGCATCTGGTTTCCGCAAAAGCCGTAGGAACTTTTGCGTACGTGACTTTTTTGGCTTTGGGATATGGGGGTGGAAAACACTGTTATTTTGGATTCTGAAATGGGTAGACTGGCTACCCTGATGACTCACCCTTCCCCCTGGTAGCAGTTGCAAAGTGCCCGTCACACCACCGGGAATCACGTGCTTCTGTATTGGCTGGCAACAGCCATCAGGGCAGTCTGGCCTAATCGGTGCATTACCATACTTACCCACTAGCTGGAAAACACACGCAGAGCTCCAGCAGGTGTTACATGAAGTGGGAATTAAAAATATCATCTATGATATGGACCCCCAGGGCCCCGATGAGTTGTTGTTCACCATAGGAATGAGAAATCTGGTGCTCCATACAGCTCCCCATTTCTTTTTGGGTCCCTACTGAATATTCTTTTCTTTTTTTTTTCCTTCTGAATATTCTTGTGCCCAACATACAGCAACCCATATAGTGACACTACTTGTACTTTAGCAGATATGGGGGAGGTTGAAACAATAAGAGCACAGAAGGAAGTATGGGCTACGACTGAAAGGAGAGGTGCAAAGGGCCTTGTGAAGGTCTCCAGGATCCAGGTGTAGGTTGATTTCATAAAGGTGGGGGTAGTGAAAGAAAAACTTGGGCAACCCAATAGGATCTTGTTAGAACTATGGCACCAATTAAAGCCAGAGCAGCAGTTCCAGCTGCTGAGGTACAGGACACAGAAGCCAGAGGCAAAGCCCCATTTCTGGCCTGTATCCAGGCAAGATTTCCTGGGGAGCAGTACTCAGGCTCTGCCTGGGCCCTAACCCCCGCAGGAGGATGACTGGATGTTGTGGTTTGACTGAGGATGGGGTCAAGGCCCCCATTCTGGGGGATGTGGTAGGGTCTGGAGGCCACATGGAAAATTAGCAATTTATTGGTCCGGTGAGTGTCCAATGTGTCCTGGCATTGATGGACACAGGAGCTGAATGTTCTGATTTATGGCAACCATGAGCATTTTCCTGGGATCCCTGCTGTGATAGATGGCTATGAAGTAAGGCAATTAGAGTGAAGAAAGCTCAAATCCCAGTGTGGATTTTTACTCTCAAAGGAGTATACTATGTACATTTTTCAAACCCTAAATATATTTTAGGGGTGGATATCCTGTAGGGTGTGTGGTTACAGACCACTGCACATTATTTGTGTATGTGTGGTAAAGGAAGTTCTGAGAGGACAGGCTAAGCACCCACCTGTAGCTCTGCCTGTACCTCAGCAGGTGACAAATACTAAGCAATATAATAGGGAACACAAGGAAATTGGAGAAACTGTACAGGAGTTGGAGAATGTGGGCATGACAAAGCCCACTCATAGTCTTTTTAATTCCCCAGTGTGTCTTGTAAAAAAGGCAGACAGCTCCTGGCATATGATTGTGGATTACAGGGAACTGAATTAAGTAACATCCACTTTGCATGATGCTGTCTCCTCTATAGCAGCCCTTATGGACACCCTCAGTCACGAACTAGGGATGTATCATCATGTTGTGGACTTTGTTAATGCTTTCTTCTCTACTGACATAGAACAGAAAAGTCATCAACAGTTCACCTTCACATGATAAGGCCAGAAGTGGACATTCACTGTCCTTCCACAGGGATACTACCACCATTTGTCACAGTCTTGAAGCCCAGGACTTGGCCACATGGAAGAAACTGCAAACGGTGTGGCTATATCACTACACTGATGATATCACGCTCAAATCTGATTCTCTCTCAATTTAGAAGGGGCAGTTTCTCAACTGCTGCAACATCTATAGGAGAA